ACTAACTTCTGTATTGTTCGAAGTTTTTAGCGAATTTTGTGAGTGCTCCTCGCACCATTTGCGCCTTTGGCCATGACTGCCCCACGACTTGAACAAAGTATGCAATTATCTAAACCTGTTTTCTTGGATTATTGTATAGACCAGATATGCATTTAATCCCTTTCAAACGATACTTAATCATGTCTAATCCATGGCGCATCCCTAAGGGATTGGTGAACGCTGAGAGATTTATTCTTTTTGTCTTAAAATTGAAAGCCTAAACTACTTTCTACCACGTATGCATTATAATCTGTGCAGATCTAAATGGTTGAAGGATTTAGTTTAATATTTCAAAAACAGACTTTCCATTAGCGTCGGGTATTACTAAGCAACATGTATTCTTTCACCGATAAGCTAACGGAGGGTTGGTAAAAAGAACTTTATTCGGCTAACGTTTCAACGCTTTCGTCTTTCTCAGAGCTGGATTGAATCGATTCGATCGATCACAGTTCTTTGTTGTTCTGATATGGATCTTCACGATCGCAACGAGTAGAATCCAGTGGACCACCGCTCGAAAAAAGTGACCTAACTGGGTATTGATGTTTCATACCGGGAGATTGTTGTTGATAGTGATTGCCTGTTAACGAAAATTTGTTCTCTCTTCTATGTCCCCGATGACTCTGGATAAATTTTTCCTTGAGTATTTTGTGACTCAACTGGAAATTTTTTCCACTACTATTTTTATTTTGTTTCATGCGACCCGTCATCGTATCTACTGTGCGGATCTTAGCATTTCCCACCTTCTATTCCTTTCCTCTTATATATCAAACCCGAAAGCCTTCCAAGTTTTATGTGTGGCTTCCGCTATTGTGCTTTAAAGATTTTTTTCATTTCTAATATCGTTTAATGCTGCTTAAGGCAATTCTTCCTTAAGTACTGATAGCCTAGCCGGAGCGTTACCAATTGGATTTCAAAGGGTGCGTTTCTCCTGGACAAGTCCGGTACCAATTTCCCATTTCCAGATGGAAGAGAGGCTTAATAAACCCGAATAGGGATCGAACTAGCACCGAGCTCGTGATGACAGGCATCAGTACCGCTGTAATCTCTGTTCCCTTAGTAATATTGAGGGGTTGGTAATGGAATAATGTCCTTTGGAAGCGCGAAAGCAAGGACAAATCTATGCATCGTGCTTTTAAAAAGGCATTTCGTGTTCTTATTAAGATCAACATGTCACAACTTGGAAACACTTCTCTTCCACTTCCACCAACTGATCACAGGTAAGTGTGCTCTGACGGGTACTAAGAGGTTCATAAACTTTGTAACTGTACATGCATCCTGTTTTAGGAGTACGATTCATTATCCTCCTAATTTAATGCCCTCAAAGTAATTTCCTGTTCCTGCTCCAGTTTCCATCTTTCCAAATTCTTCACAAAGTCCAATGTCACTACATCCAGGCGGCTTTGGAAGCGCACCATTATATCAGTCACGTCCTGGGCCTTCATCTGCTTTCGATGAATATAATCCTCCGCATAGATCACTGGAAATAACTTTTTTCCATTATTTGCTCTGCTTTTTGATTATAGGACATCCTAGCAAAAGTGTAGGATCTGCACATTTTTCCAACAAGACAAAAGTTTACATTTCCAGTTCCGTAAAATTCTAGAGTTCTAGAAGCGATGAGTTCGTTGGAGGTATTTTTTGGCGTCATCATCGTGGTTGGCGAAGCATTACTCGCGCAAGAAAGTTGTCAAGGTGCTTGAATAAGTGACAGTCGGTAGACGAGAGGTCTGGGTTGCGCAGTGAGGCCGGGCGTTGTCTTGGAGAAGGATTGGTCTTTTTCTGTTGAGTAATGTCATTCGTTGTTGTTGGAGTTTATGGTGTCTTTCGCCTTTCGCTTTCTTGGCAACACTTCTCTGCTGTAACCGTTTCGCCCGGATTCAAAAAGCTATGATGAATTAGCTCGGTTGAAAGCCAGGGAACAGTGAACGGGACCCTTATTTGGTGCAGTTTCGGCTTTTGGAAGAGCTGTAGAGGCTGGTCGCAGTCCAACCATTAAGCTGAACGCGCCGGTTTTCGTGCAGAATTCACTTGTCTTGGCACGTTACAATTCGATGAAGAAAAGGGTCGTTTTGTTGCGCAGAATAAGAGCAGACGAAACTTCAGAACGGCGATTTTTTTTGTTCATTGCCTAATTCGTGCAACACCCACTCGTCAAGTTTTTTTGTCCTTTCCATTCGATTCGAGTAAGCGGAAATTCTGCTTACGCTAAGCTGCTTTGCAAGCTCTCGAACAGTTTTTGACGTGTTTAACTCCGCTAGTGTCTTCAATTCGTCGCCGTCAGGACCAATGAGATATCGTCGGCCTACCTTAACCTCGAGGTCGAAATCACGAGATCGGAATTTCCGGAATCATGTTCGCAATGTTGATTCACCATCACTACCTTCACTCCAAGCTTGATGGAACTCTGATCTCCGGCCGCCTCATTATGCCCACTCTTTACCTCGTACAAAAAAGGACACAAATATTCCGTGGATTCACACTGAGGTTAAAGCCTATAAAAATGCTAAAATAATAAATCTTGAGGAAAACCACTACTAGCAATAGAAAGGGCAGACTTCTGCTCTAAAAAATGTATATTTAGCATACAGGAAAAGGAAATTTTTTATTTAAAAGAATACACGGAATATTAAAACAATAAAACCAAACATTCCATGTGTACCAACCCAATATATCCTGCCGGACACTCGTTTGAAGCGATCATAATTGTTACCTGAATTCCTAAGAGCTTCTCAAGGAAATCATTCCCAATAAGTCTTTCGTACCGATTTCGTATACATGTAATTTTCGTTTAGACTGCTTCATATTGTTTCCGAAGGACTACTCCAATGCTGAATTACTCGTGAATTGCAAGCTGTTTTAGATTTCCCGCGGTGAAAAATTTTAGGAGCGGGGCCAGCGCAGCGAGGTCTTACACAATCATGGTCAAATAGGAATAATGAACTACATGAGCAATAGTAGGACGACGAAATAAGTGACAAACATGTACGTAGGCTGATGTGCTACGACACGATCAATAACCATCAATATAGCAACTATTCCCAGAATAGTTTCTATTTCTTTCTATATATTTGTATTTTTCTACTACTGTATGTTTCAGTATTAAGGATCAATTATGTTCAATGTTTCAGGCACAATAGCGATTCAGGTTTGACTTCAGTAGCATACCAACGATGGCTTATCCGAAGGAGGCGTAACCAGTGGAAAAGTTTACTACTTCCTCGCGAAACAACGAAGCTAATGACGTTTGTTGTTTCAGGCAGTTAGGTACAGTCTATTGCGGTCCAGGATCAAGAATCCAGATTAACCGCGGTTGCACACGCTCGCGGCTCCCGCAGCCGATATAAGCCAGGTGCCTTCGACGGCGGAGACATGCCATCACTCACCTTACCCCCGATCGGTAGCGCGGATAATCCGCTCCTCACAACCACATCCTCAATCCCCTCAATTCATTCTTATTCAATCACACTCATTCACACATTCACATTCATCCTTCAGTAATCAGCAGATTATTGTATCTCGTTTCTCAGCTTGTCTATGGTGCGATGTCAGTAGGGTGTTACCAAATGCGTTCTGTTAGCAACGCCATCGGTGGCATGTACCATTCCTCCCACAATCTACACGCAATGTGTACAATGCCGCTAAGCGGCCAACTTATGCTATGTATTCTGCTAAGCCGCTATAGGCCTATCGGTTTTGCAGCCATTCATCATACTGGCCCTTGACCATTAGGCAATGGTGGCACCCATCGATGCTCAAAGTTCACGTTGCTGACATAGCGTTATTCACGACCAGCCGCCTGACTGTGTTCCGTAGATGACTCATCATTCACTGTCCATAGCACCGTCAACGCTCATGTAACTTACAGTCCTCATCGATCAACTAAAATGCTCCTCATCGCTATAATGTTGAAATGCATCTTAGCATGACCGAAACACGGACAGTCTGTAACCCTCACCACCTCAGCATACTGTCTCCATCTCCGCGGCATACCGTCTCCTCCCTCCGCCCCCAGCATACTGTCTCCCTCAGCCGCCGCGCCGGGCGCGAATAGACGCGGCGTGGCATCGCTTACGGTTAAGCAAAGGCTACTTCGTTGTAATCTCATTATTATTGTTAATATTGTGTTAATGGTATAATAATGTTTGAATGCCATTGCCTCATTGTTAGCTTCACTTCACTACAGGCCTTAGCACCTCAGAGTTCTAACTTGTGTCATTCCTCTATCATTGCTTCTCTATCGTTACCATCATGAAATTAGTGTTGCATTAATGTAGCATTTATGTATATAAAGGTTTAATTACCCAAGTTTGAGGTATTGTCTTGTGACTACTACGAAAAGTCTCGCGTGGCATTTATTCACGAAGTCGAGCATTCTGCTAAAAGTTAGTGATTATTCGGTGCCGAGAACTGACTCGAAGGCCTATTTTCGACTAGCAACTGCAATAATCAATAAAGTGCTCATTAAACGGTGATGTCGATAATCTGCTGCGGGTACGGCTAGACGACGCGAGGTGCGATGACGTTATGTCTGCTCAGAGAAATTCCCACTGGAGGGTGTAACCATGGATGGTATCTGATGGTATCTGATGGATATGGTATCTGACATGGGCCAGCAGCGTCATTGAGCAACAACGTGATATGCCGAGCACCTGCCTTATATGCTAGAACGTTTGTGATATAGGTATAAGGATGGTTACGTGACAACAAGTGGCAGATGAAGCAGAACGCCCATGGGCATGCCTTGTCTTACTGACAATGTAGTGTGAGTCCAATTAAGATACTGTGAATACCGACGACTTTAAAGGTGCAATGTTTTGACCGCAAGTTCTAGGAGTGCAACTTATGACAATAAGATGGCGTTGCAATCAACAGCGATGCTATCAATCGACGAAGATGGCAAATTAAGGGCGATGTTGTAAGTGTATTATCCGCTTTACCGAGCGGGAAGGAACTGAAGGATGTTATTTGTCGAGCAAGTAGATAGCGATCGCCGCTGCTACGCGTATACCGTAGGTGCCTGGATCAGGATGACGTGGCTGGACACCTTTGCATCGTTGGCACACCTTTAGTTCGCGATGATAAAACGGTGATAATCTGAAATACTTGATTTAATGAGTTCCTAAAACTTCTATTGACAAAAGAGATAGTAACTATTTTAACTCTTTTATTTACTGTCTTTTTCTTTTTAATGGCAGGGTATGTTGCGAAATATAACTCGTATATAATGCTTCGCTGGTTAAGCCATTGCGGTTTCTTGGAATCCCGAGGACAGCCTGGCCAAAGTCTGCCTCAGGTCGTCACCACGACAGGCAGTCGCAGCCCTTGTGGATCAAAGGGAGATTTGCCACCATGCGACGCTGATACCAGTGGATCGTGGTATTGGTTTACTCTTAGCTAGGCTTCCTAATGGGAATGCCGAACTCCTTCTTAGCTTAGGAGACCCTGCCTGGGGACGAATCCCCGCTGTACATCGCAGACCGACACCCAGGAATCTCCCAGGCCCGATAAGGCGATAAACCGTTGGGAGGATATTTATGGTTGCATTTAGTATACATAGTTTTGCAAAATTTCGGTGAGTGCTTGATTTCTTTCAGCACTATGAATTCGAGCGAGGCACCCAGACTATAATAACCAGCTGTGTTAGACAAGTATGTTATGGTGCCTTTCAATAGAAAAGCTCTGTGTTTTACGTTAAGAGTAGCTCGGTGTACACTGAACCATTCGACAACAACTGTTTGCTGATATTATAATTCCACACTTCCCGTAGCACTGTGCAGCACTATGTAAATACATCAAAGAACGACGTTACGTGAAGTTTTTTTGCCGATTTAGTCATCATTTGCTGTCATTTTTGTGCAAAATATTCCAGCAGGATCGCGTATTATGGTGCAAACTCGGTCAGAAGTAGAGGAACACTGCCAATTGAAAGTAGTCGTCGGCAATCTAACGTACGTCACGTACGTTTATTGTAGCTAACGGTTAGGCGCCACAGCCTCTTCTGACCGATTTGAATCCATTGCGTGTACAGAATGGCTTATAAACAAAGAAAACAGTTGATAACTCGAAAGAACGTCTTTCCGTAAACCTCGGTGTATTATATCTATATACATATTCTTACGAATGGCCTTTTTTTTAGCTGACCCGAGTACGCAGGTAAGGGTAGTCCAACGGCACAGCTTTCACGGGTCACCGCCACAATGGTTCTTTTCCTGATGTGTTCCTATCGTATCGATTGTATGTGACTACAAACACCAAAGTTAAAATAGCCAGCTGCTGTAGAGTAGCAAATTATGGTGCTTTCTAATAGAAAACCACTACGTCTTACGTTAAGAGTAGCTCGGTTTGCGCCGAACTCTCCAACAACTACTGTTAGGTGGTACTGTAATTTCATGCGTCCCATAGCACTGTGCAGCACTGTGTAAATACATCAAAGAACGACGTGACGCGAAGTTTTTCTGCCGATTTAATCATCGGCGCTAACATTTCGTTTCAAAAAAAATACGAGAATGTGTAAACTGTGCTGAAGAAGATACCAGAAGGCAATCATAATGTACCTAACCCATATATTCGGCATGACCATCATATAAAATTTGGACAGGAACTAGTCCAAGACCTTGTTGAGAAAAACACATTTGTACTAGAAGCTAACGCTTTTGCCAGATGTGATACCGTCGAACACATATGACAACTACTAGACTTTCTCCTTCGCTGAAGACAGACAAATCATCAATCAACTGCAACCATTTTAGCCCATACATGGAAAGCAATAGAAAACGGAAGCTGGATCCTTTGGCATATTTGTCACCTACACAGGTATTGGTGAACAATGTGAGGTTTTCTGCTGGCGCGGTTCCCTGCGGCAACAATATGGGACAAGCGCACAGAGATCCTTTTTGTTTCTCTTTCAAAGAGCTACTAAATGTTTTTTAAAGCAAAGTCAAACCGTTTCCATAACTTTATGAGCACTTACACACATTCAACTTCCTCGATACAATGTAGGATGTGAAATTATATAACAAAATGCTACGAAAAAAATTAAATTCCACGGGGCATCTTTCCGATGGTCGTGAGTAAATTTGTTGACCAACTAATCTTGAGACGAACGAGGAAATCCATTGCATGAGTAATGCAGGTGAGTTGAGGAGAAAAAACTGTTAAGAACTTGCTTCGTGTGGAGATCTGGAGACTAGTGAGCTTGTCACCGTAGTAGATAAGGAGATCATGAAGCGAAAATCAAGGTTTCAAGAATCGATTTTATTTGGACCTTGGTTTTTGAAATATTTTTACGCTATTTGTTGGCCTTTAGTGTTAACAACTGCTGTAGGACGATTCTTAAGAGGAAAACAAATGATTAAGAACGGACAATCACAATCAATAGCCGTTCTGTGTAAAGGAGCACACTGCCTAGAGAAGTTGATTCGTTCGGGCATCGCAGTTGTCTAGAAAAACCAAATTCATATTGTTTCCGTGTGTTCATCACGGGATGCACCAGGGTACACCACATTGGCAGATTTTTTCCGCAACAAGCAGAATGAGTCAAAGAACTCCATGCTGATAAAACATTGCTTACCCGACAGATGAGCAAATCCTAAGGGGAGGAAATAGATATAAAAACCAGCGAAGACTACAAATAAAATGTGTGATACCATCCACTATTCGCCTATACCGTTTCTCTTTGTTGCTTTTATACACGTGAGCACATAAGAAAACCTCGAACACTTAAGAACTTCGAAAACTCTTCGTCTGATTTCCAGAAACCTTGAAAATTTTATAAGAAACACTGTTTTCCATCACAAAAACTAAAGACGTTGGTATAATATATCAAAAAAAAATATTCTGACTCTACCTTTCAACAGTGACTAAATCATTTGTCAAGCGACAACGGGGAAGAATGTGATATTGCATGGATGAAAGCGGTCTGAAAAGTTGAAAGTTGCGAAGGCTTTCCCTATAATTCTTCAGTTAGATTCATGAAGTCGGAATATTTAGGAATGAGAATCACTGCTATATTCGCGTCATCCATTATAGTCACATATTGTGAAACGACCGACGCCGGCACTAGAACAAACGACACCTTCGATGGTCAGCACGATTGCAAGACCACGAACGTTAAGCTAGCAGAACAAAAGGTGATAAATGAATTCAATCTTTGAATTTTCGTACTACAAAAGCTTTTAGAATGCAAATTGGATTTTCCATGCTCGAGAGAAACACTTGGACTCGCCGGATACGGTAATGAGAAAATTGAGGGCACCTAAAGGCGAAAAAATTGATAATAGCAATGCGTTGAAGGTACCGTTGCTTTTCTTGTTCATTCCTTTTCAACTTCCCGTTTTTGTAATCGCAAGAAAAGTTCTTCAATTAACAGGAGAAATTGAGAGAGTACGACTCAAGTGGGGAAAAATCGATTCCCAAGTCCAAGTCTGAACGAGACATCGGACGAGCTCCGTCCCAAAGTGGCATAGTTCAGACGGAGTAACCTATTACATAAAAATCGATTTAAGCATAACGCCTGCAAAACATTGTCATCCGTTGTGTTTAGAACAAAAGTCGGGAAATCCTTTAACCACATGATGGGTGGAACTCGTCCAAAGCGACAGGTATTGAGGGAAGAGGTCTATCCGAACTCGACGTGGAAGGACGGCGTATTCTACGCATTCAACACATCAAGTTAGTTTTAAGCGAGTGGCCTCGTTTGTGTCTCTGCAATCTGGTATTGCTCTGCATTCATTAATGTTAAAGTGCCACTTTTTCTGTAGTTTGGGAACTCTTTGTGAACCAGTCTCAAAGAATTGGTTTCACTTTTTTTCGCAGTTTTCATGTTGGTATATGTAGTTACAATAACATAAGATACGGAATAGCGGAAAAGAGGAACACTTTGAATCACAAATGGATATTTCAACTGGTCTCAAATTTACCACAACCAACTCTGTTTAAAACCTACAAATTCTCACTGATATCTTCACGTATATAGTTAAAGGTTAAATTTCTAGACAACGCGGTGAGGAAGCTGTTCAATGAAGGCAAGAAAATATGGAGTGACAGCAGTTGTATCGACTTTGTAGAAGACAATAATGGTTCGACTAGCGGCTGACATCAAGCAAATAGATTAAGCGATTAAACAAACAATTTCCAGCTTTCGACAAGGTGGTCTTGATTGAGGATCCTGGGACCTTTTCGAGCGTTGGAAGATTAGGCGGAGAACAGTTTCTTTCTCTTGGCGATGGATCTGGATCTGCTACGGTGCGATGCTCTTAAAATAGCAACCCAATCGAACAAAGTGTTACATTTCAATACTTTTTTAATGGATACGCGTTTGCCAGCGGTTGTGAAACTGAAAGACATTTCAGATAGGAACAGCTGTGCATGAAATCGGCCACACCCTTGGATTTGTGCACACAATGCAAAGAAACGACCGCGACAGTTATATTCGAATCATCGACCGGAACATTGACGTGAGTGTTTATGAAAACACTTTTGGTCGTCATCTTTGAGAGGAATATAAACCTGTTTGGTTAGCCAAATCACTTCGACGAATTCATAAAACTACAAACGAACCAAGCCGATGTTTATGGGATGGCATACGACTACGGAAGTATCATGCACTACGACGAACTAACGTTTGCGCCAAAAGCTTAAGTTTATTCTTGACTCCTGATAGTATAACAAAATTTTTAGTCCTTCCATTAACGACCGGGTGACGATGATTGCAACAGATTCCCTTTATCAAAAGACGATGGGATCGCAACTGATTTCCTTCTCCGAAATTTTCATGGTCAACGAGCACTACGGATGCAATCGTTAGAGCTGTGATCTTTCTAGAGTGCAACTCAAAACAACTGAAACCAGTCCAATTTTTTAGAAAAATGCAACAAGTCTACAGCGGCTAAATGTGCTAACGAAGGATTTCCGCACCCCCGAAATTGCTCCGCATGTATTTGCCCGAGTGGCTACGGTGGTACTCTGTGCGATCGACGGGTAAGAATTAGCTCTACAAATGAAACTAAATCCGGTGCCAAATTTCAAACTGTCTTAGCCACCAGGCTGTGGAGAAGACCTCGTGGCGACAAGTGAGAAACAAACACTAAAATACACGCTAGGTTTTGGATCCGATCTCCGCGACCATTTCATGTTTTGCAATTATATGATTACGGTACAATTTTCTTAATATGTGTTATCAATGACCAGTGTAAGGCATAACCGTGTTCAGGCACCTGAAGGAAAGAAAATCGAGGTCAACGTCCGATCAATTTCATATGGTTACGACTGGAGCGGCTGCCCGAGAGGAGGAGTCGAAGTCAAAGCTCAAGTGGACCAGAAGCTGACGGGATACCGGTAAAAGTGAACTTCCGAAAATTCGACAGCACGTGCTCTTATTTTTTTAAAGGTTTTGCTCGATGAGTGGTAGCAACGGTCCCGTTGTCTCCAGCTCCAATCGCTTGCCAATCATTTTGTTCAATAGGTTCAGCGCGATGCAGACAATATTCACGTACCGCTACATTGGCTGAGGAATGTATTCTAACTTTGAGAGATTTTTTTCTGAGCCTAAATGCTTTGGTCTTCTTATTATATTTTATCTTGAAATAGCATTTCTGTCAACATTTAAAAGCGTTATACCTTATACTGTGTTTACATCTGTACCTTTTACATCCGCTGATTCCGTACAAGAAGTGTGATCCATTTATCGATTATAACCGAAACAACAATCATTTCCCTGTGAAATTACCATTAATTGTGCTTATTCGAAAATTTTTTATATACCAATAGTTTATTAGATTATTAAGTTACCACAAAGTTGCTAAGAACGATCTACTCACCTAACGCCTCGAAGGTTTTGTCTTCTTCGGAGCTGCAATGTCTCGAATTAATCCCCAGCAGCCATTCGTCCTTGCAATTTCGGTCCTCGTTGGGGGAAGTCGACATTACAAATTCGAAATGAAGACATTCTATAACTGGTTTAGAGAAGATACGACTGCGACTTGGCTAAATAGCTGTACAAGACACTACGTAATCGAGAGTCTTCTCAATAATCCCCACACTTAGCGGTTTCAGTTTGAGATGAACAGTGCACCCCCTACTAAGATAGAAGTCATCGCAGTGTAGCCGAGGGTTATGATTGGCAGGTTGTTTCAGAATTTCCTATCAAGTCGTTGTATGCTATGCTCTCCTAGAAGATCTCTGTACTTTATCGGATTGAGGGGACGGCAATTATTTCGTGCCGGCTGTTTGTCTGTTCTTTTCAAAAATTTTGTATCTTCCTATTCCAACGGAACTAAAAGATTTAATGGTGCGCGAGCTTGGCTATATGAGGGTAATAATGTAACAGCTCTTCTTGAAATTTTTTGTAAAATCGCATCGAGTTCTTTGACTCTACCTCTTTTCCGCAAGTGTCGTGTTTAGTCGATCTTGGTACTTACTTGATACCTGAACGGCCCATCCTCACTGTTTGTGCGAATCTCCATTTTTCGGAGATTTTCTGGTTAAGCCACTATGGTTCCCTGGAGTCCCGAGGTCAGCCTGGGCAAAGTCTGCCCTAGGTCGTCACCACGACACTGCAGTCGCAGCCCTTGTGGATCAGAGTGAGATTTGCCACTATCTGACTTTGATACCAAGACGGCGGTGGGTCCTGGTATTCGTTTACTCTTAGCTAGGCTTCCTGATGGAAACGCTTGACTCCTTACCAGCTTCGGAGACCCTACCAGAAAATGAATACCCGCTTTAAATCGCAGTCCGACACCCAGGAACACTTCCCAGCCAC